ACATATGTTTGTATTTGGAGTATGCTGATTCTGAAAATGTGAGTGTTATGTGAATGTGATGCATACTTTTCAAGTTATGAATAATGTGGAAAAAGTGTATTTCTCTGCTTGTGATAATTACATTACCCATTGTGTAAGGTAATTGTATCACAGGCAGAGGGGAGGATTTTGTGTGGGAGTGTCTGAGTGTATTGTATGTTTATTGGTTGTGTTCCAAAACCCTGTGGGTGGTACTAATGTGTAAAAATGTGTACATAAGAACAATAAACCCACAGCTCTGTCTGTTCACTGCTTGACCCTCAAAACAGAGCCTTGTCTCGTTCTTGGGGGGATTTATTGTATGCTGTTCCAGTTCGACTGCTAGGAGTGTAAACCTATTCATATGGTTTTTCCTATTCGGCTGTTTACAGCATTCATATGGTTTCCTGTTCGGCGGATTGGTGTTCTGCAGTATCTGTGCCTGTGCATCTGGAAGGGGAAGATCTACTAAACAGTTTTTACCCCTTTTATGCAAAACGGTCCGTTACACTATATAATATGTATGTGTATATATATATATATATATATATATATATATATATATATAATATGTATGTATATATATATGTATGTGTGTGTGTGTGTATATATATATATATATATATATATATATATATTATATTAAAAAATGAAGTGGGTGCACTCAACATCACCAGACATCCTCAAACAACTTGACAATAAAACTATATATCGAAGACTGACATACGATCCAGTGTCCCAATTTCAAAAACAGATTGACATACATATACAACTGGGTATACAAATGGGTTTTATACACAAAAATACACAAAGATCCAATACAACCACCGGGCAGACCTATAGTCTCCGCACGGGATGCTTACTAGAACTTATAGCCAAATAAATTGACTGGCATATTAAAGAAAGTATCAAACAACTTCCCACTTGTCCAAGTGATACCCCAGATCTTCTCTCTAGAGTGAAACAAAGGAGATTCAATGGTGATGAGAATACACTACTGGTCACACTAGATGTACAGAGTCTCAACACGATAATCCCCCATGAGTAGGGGATCAACGCCGTCAGAGACATCCTATCAGACTCACAAGTCTACCAAGGACCACCCATCGAATACCTTTTGGAAATTTTACATATGCAATTATTTTAAATTTGAAGATTATTTTTACCTCCAAACTTTGGGGAATGCGATGGGAGTGGCTATGGCTCCTTCATACACCAATGTGTACATGTATTGGTATGAGAAATTGTACATCTTTTCAAAATATGATAACCATATCATCGAGTATGTCAGGTTTGTGGAGGATATATTCCTTTTGTGACAAGGTACGTCACAAGAATTGGATGAAATGATTTTGTATATCAACCAGTTACCGACCACAGTTCAATTTACAGCCACATCTAGTACAACAAACATACAATTTCTGGATGTTAAATTGTACAAACAAGAGGATCATTTGGGTTTTACATTACATCGTAAACCCACGGATTGGAATACTTTGCTGGGAGCAACCAGCTTCCATCCACATACACTAAAGGACTCTTTACTGGTCTCACAGTATATGAGGGTTTTACGTTATAACAGTGATCCCACCAGAAGGGAAGAACAACTGCTAGAGATGAGCTGTAACTACATGGAAAGAGGATACCACCCCCAGGTATTTTATAATGCCAAGCAGTGAGCCTTACTTATTTGGCATGGGGAACAAGTACAAGACTCACTACAACATTTGGATAAAAAAAACTCAAATATATTTATCTTTGACATATTATACTGGCTTGATTCAAATGAAGAAATCCATACATAGATATAGGAGGATACTCAATTCTGACAAAAATCTACCTGAGGTCTTTAAGCAGCCACCCATCATTAGTTTCAAAAGGAATCAAAACTTAAGGGATGAACTGGTTAAAAGCGATTCAACCACATGTTACAGCAAACCTAGAGGATTCACTAAGAAAGGTTGTTTTAAATGCAGTGGCTGCTTCACATGTAGCCACATGATTAGCGGATCGTCATTTGCACACCCTCAAAGTGGCAAAAGAATTCCCATCAATCATTATATTACCTGTTTGACCGATCATTTCATATACCTTATTGCATGCCCATGTGGGCTATCATACTTGGGCAAAACTGATCTTATAGTCCGAGACCACATCAGAGGACACAGATTAGGGATTATGACCGCTTTTTGAGATCAGAAAACCGATAAACTGGTAGCAAAACATTTTCTAGCTGCAAACCACCGTCTTCCAACATTATGTTTCACTGTTATAGACCATGTACCATTATCACCACGGGGAGGAGACAGGTCAAGAACACTACTCAAAAGAGAAGCGTTGTGGATCCACAAGTTGGATATGGCTGCACCACTTAATGAACAGATATTGTGGCAAACTCCCCTCTCCAAGTGAGTTTGCCACAAGCTCCTGGAGGAGCCTGCTTGCCAGCCTCCTGACACAGACTATGGACCCTGCAGGGGTCCCGTTCCAAGAAATCCTTAGGTGGGGATAATTCCACCAGTGCTGTGGCAATAGAGCAGTATTTTCTGCTCTACTCTTGTGAGTATATTTTATTTTATTTATTTTATTGTTCTTAATGTGAGCACTATTTGCTGTTTCATATACCTTGTGGAATACGACGGAACCCAAGCCGGATGGACGGACCTACCCTTCCAGTACATCCTTTAGTGGGGATTATACCACCAAGTGCCTTTCACCCCAGAGCCGGTCCTAGCTCCACCAAATAAATCCATAGGTGGGGATAATTCCACCAGCGCTGTGGCAATAGAGCAGTATTTTCTGCTCTACTCTTGTGAGTATATTTTATTTTATTTATTTTATTGTTCCTACTGAGAGCACTATTTGCTGTTTCTTATACCTTGTGGAATACGGCGGAACCCAAGCCGGACGACAGACCTACCCTTCCAGTACATCCTGTAGTGGGGATTAAACCACTAAGTGCCCTTCAAATGTGAGTGTACAATCCTCCTTTTTACTTATTTTTACCCTTGGAGCTACTATATTTCACCATTGTCAGTTTTTTATGTTTTCTTTTATCTCCACATATACGGATTATCTACAACCCGGACGGATCAACTCCTGAGGATTGTACACATACCCTATCCATATATCAGTGAGACTGTTTTTATTGATTTTATTCAACATTTTTCTTATCATTTTATTTTTTTGAACATCTGGATGGACTCTGTTTTATTCATTATTTTTATATAATTGCAACAGAGACTATTATACCCAGGTTTTATTACTTGCTGATTATACACTTCAACCAATTGGTTTCTATTTTATTGTACTGTTCTCTGTACAATAGCGCAGCCCTTAACCCCTTTTTTTTCTTCACATCTTTGAGATAGTTGTCACACATAACTTATTTCATGATTTGGCCCGTTCTTTTTAATGAAATCTTCAGATCTTAATTATAAGAAGCGATTTCAGCAATGTTGTACTTTCGGTACATCTTTATGTCTATCCTGTATAAATATGTATATGTATTTAAATTCTACGTGCATATTTATGTAATATTTTTACATAATTAAGTAATTTTATTGATTGCAATTTGGGGGACCTGCCTGACAACCCAGGCCAAAAGTCCAGAGAATTTACATTGCTAGCACTATATTTAACCCTGTAACTTTCCAAGACATCCTAAAACCTGTACATGGGGGGTACTGTTTTATTTAGGAGACTTCGCTGAACACAAATACTAGTTTTTCAAAACAGTAAAACATATCACAGCGACGATATTGTCAGGGAAAATAAAGGTTTTTTTGCATTTCTCACACATAAACAGCACTTTCACTGATGATATCATTGTTGTGATACTTTTTACTGTTTTGAAACTCTAATATTTGTGTTCAGCAAAGTTTCCTGAGTAAAACAGTGCCCCCAGTGTACAGGTTTTATAGTGTTTATAAATGTTATATAAGGCTTTATTTTCCATTTTTTCATATTAATATTTACCAGATTGGTTATGTTGCCTTTGAGAGCGTATGGTAGCCCAGGAATAAGAATTACCCCCATGATGGCATACCATTTGCAAAAGAAGACAACCCAAGATATTGCAAATGTTCAGTCTTTATTAGTAGCCACTTAGCCACAAACACTGGCCAAAGCTAGCATTCATAATTTTTTTTTAGCATTTTTAACACACAAACAAATATAAATGTTAATTTGGGCAGTGTTTGTGACTACTAAAAAAAGACTGGACATAACCCATATTGAATACCCTGAGATGTCTACTTTAAAAAAACATGTACATGTTAAGTGTGATTCAGAGATTGATGACAGATAAAATGTCACTATTGATTCGATTAAAAAAAAAAATATTTTGAAACAGCAATGTCCTATTTGTACTTATAGCCCTACAACTTGCAAAAAAAAAAGCTAAGAACATGTTAACATTGGGTATTTCTAAACTCAGGACAACATTTAGAAACTATTTAGCATGGGTGTTTTTTGGGCAGTTGTAGATGCGCAACAGATTTTGGGGGTCAAAGTTATAAAAAGTGTGTTTTTTTTATTTTTTCATCATATTTTATGTTATTGTAAATTATATGATTTGATGAAAATAATGGTATCTTTAGAAAAGCCATTTAATTGTAAAAAAAACTGTAGATAATATGTGTGGGTACAGTAAATGAGTAAGAGGAAAATTACAGCTAAACACAAACACTGCAGAAATGTAAAAACAGCCCTGGTCCTTAACGGTAAGAATATTGAAAAACAGTCTAGTCACTAAGGGGTTAAATCTGAGCCCAAAATGTCCTGAGAAGCTGCACTTTTTTTTAAATTGAATACAATAGTTAACCCAGGAAGGTGCCTAGGTGATTAGAGTGATAGGAGAGGATAATGATATGTAAGGCAAGTCTCAGGAGAGAAAAATAAAAGTAGAACACAGTAGCATAACACAACTTGCAAAAGATTAGTTATCAGGAGTTCATCAGGGCCTCATCCTAGAGGCTGATTCACCTGACACCCTGTATGGGTTGAACACAGTCCTGCAATATACTCTTTGGGACCCCGAGCCCAAATGGAAACACCACCGACATTCGGTAAGATTCCGGTACGGTCTGCAAGGACTCCATCTCTTGTGTCGATCGACGCCAAGGCACAGGATGGATCTTGCGTTGATGCCATTTTGGGGCCTTCTCCACCGCATGGGCTGAGGGCTCCCGATGTGGAGGGAGGCATGGCACTCTGGGTGAGTAGGTACTCGCTTGTAGTGGGTCAAGCTGGTGCATCCTCTGTTCCAGCTTTTGCCAAAAATCTGCGAAGATGAGAGTCAGCCTGGCTGAAATATCAAGGTGGTCTGTACCTAAGCTGTGGGTACACGTTGTGTCCACCATGTTGGGTGAGTCACCACTTGTTTCATCTATTCCTGCAGTTCTGCCCCATGTAGCTTCCCAGATATTATTGCTTCCCCGTAGAGGACCGCGATAACCCACATCGATCCAGGGGGGGTAATGGGTAATTTGCTTGTTCTAAGGGGCTGTTGTGCACCTCCTGACATGGAAATCATCTGCCTCTCCCGTACGATGTGCACTTGGCCGTACGATGTGCACTTGGCTGCATGATTGAATGTTGAGTAGGTGAGCTCTGGGCGTGTGGCGAATTACCTCATGGTGAGTACCCTAAGGTAAGGTCAGATAATGCAAGGGCTTTTATCACAATATGAGCCAGAAGAGCCTCGAAAATGCTTATTTCTTCAAAATAGTGGAGGAGCTCACCCAGGACATGTCTCTCCACATGAAAGTCTGTCCCCGCCCCCCAAAGGATCACTCTTTTAATATCACTGTTAGAAGAATTTTCTAAATTTAGAATTTTTAATGGAGTAGGTTTTATGTTTACTAGTTTTTTTTTTTTTTATATAAAGTTTGACAGTGGAATAACAATATGTACTAAACCACTACTCCAACCCCATTTCTGCCCCTAATATGGGCTGTGCAATTTATCACAATTGTCACTATTTGTCAGTTTGTATATTTTGTACATTGTGATGAATAAATGTAATATCCTTGTTCTTTTGAACAAATATATATTTGGTAAACTAGGGTGCACTATTGTGTGTAGGAGCTTGAAATGTGGATGAAAGCAGAATTGCTAGCAACTTTATAGATTAAGAGAAAAACCTATTTATAAACATATGTCTTTCTTCACCTGTCAGTCAATTCTTCAGCATAGACTCTACGCAGAAGAATTGAATGACAAAGGAGAGTAGAAAATACCTTGGACCGGCGGTCCTCCTGCTCTCCACGCATAGCAACCACAGCACACACAATGTGGTTACTATCATAAAACCATAGCCAGAGCTACTAGCACTGGGTAGGTGGTTAGGTAGTATAGGAAACAAGTGAGTCACTCTATTCAGACACCGGCATGCTGGCAAGTGAAGCCAGATTATCGGCATTAGAGAGGAGGTTTGTTCTGCTTGGGGAAACATGCCTTAATTGGCTGTCAGGATTATAGTTGATCCAGCACGCAGAATAGTATCACACCTAGGACTAAGGATAACGTTTAACCGAACCTTAGAATGGCCGGACTTAACATACCTGAGAATAGTCACAATACTTGCCGAGGTCAGGGACACAGAATGAGACACAACGATGAGGAAAGCCAGAAGTCAAGCATACCAGAAATCAGGGAAGTCAAAATTAAGCCAAAGTCAAATACCAGAAAAACGCAATCAGGAACACACTCTCGGATAAACAGTTAGTGGAAACCACGACAGGGCACTGAAAAAAGGTAATTTGGATTTATATAACCCTCCGTAGGTTACAATTGGCTGTTTCTGACCTCTGACCCCAAAACGTGAGTGTGCATCTATGACATGACTTCGCACGCACGTTGGCGCTATCTTTTATGTGGGCAAAGGTAAGTTTCCTATAAAAATCAGAATTGCAGCGGGGACCGGAACGGTGGGAGACCAGGCAGCTGCCCGCCGGGACCAAGGTAGTTCAGAAAAAAAATTTGTGCAGCCACGCCGGCAGAGGAGCAGGGACACTGGCCAATAAAAGAAAACTGTGGGAGGAGCAAGAGTGGAACAGAGGTGTGAATTACAGAAGACTAGCACCCATGAAGCTGAGAAAATGGTGGCACTGGATCAGTATTTTACATTAAATTCATCATGTAGCTCATATGATGTATTCAGTTTATTTTGTTGGGGGTGAGGGGGGAATAAAAAATGAAGGAATTACAATGGAAATGAAAGAAATGTCCTAGCCAAGGCAAATGGTTTAGAATATTTGAATTATTTTAACCATATTCTCAGAGACCTGTTAGAACCTGTTCAACATAATTATAAATCAGATTTAAACAATTTGACACAGATATACAGTACATATTTTTATCATCATGTTGGCTTTGTAATGTTAAAAAGTATTGATATATTTTATATTTTCAAACTTAAGCTGCTCCTTTATGCCTTCTGCAGGTTGCGGTCTTTCAGTTAGGTAATGTATGCAGAAACAGATATAGATTTTTTTTCTACGTATCTACAGCATTCTTGACACCAATGCTCCTGCTTAATTATTTAATAGCATTGCAGCAGCATGTGATGGGAGACACTAAATTAAAAAAATCTGTGAAATTTGGTGTTCAATAACTAAATCCACTAAAATCACTTAGTACTCTACCATATATCAGCAAATATAGTAAAATAGCAGTGTTATCCTGCCTTGCTTCAATGGCTTGCAAAATATCAGTTTTTGTTGTTTTATCAGAGTTGTTTGTAAAGAAGAAAGGTCACAAAGCAAATGGGAAAAATTGTGTTTATCACAAGAAACACTCTTAAAAAAAAAAAAATACACTTCCAACCTTAACAATTTTTGCCAGAACAAAGAAATATTGGTTATTTGTCAGTCCTGCTGGATGCAATGGATGCATCGTTGGTTGCTGCTGATTCCTATATAGTATAAGAGTTATGCCTCTTGTAAACAAACCGGCAGATAGTCCCTAGTGTGATTTGCATCAGTACAAAACTTCTTATTTATATAGTAAAGTATAGTAAAATAGTATATAGAATAGTCTACTCTAGGCACCATAACAATTTCATCAGAATTAAGATGTTATGGTGCCAGGTCACTGTCTCCAGCCTGCCTTCACAAATGGTTTAACCCCAAAGTTTTCTGTCTGGCTTTGTTCAGCTCTACCCACCTTACATAACGTCTCTAGTCAGAGCCTTGAAACGGGAAGTCTTGGAATGGACACCGGTGATAGGTTGAGAGTGTCAGTCTGTCTGTAGTGCCCCATTAACAAGATGACTTCTGAAGCATTTTGTGAATAAGGGGTTACTAATTGCATCAGCGCATGCTCTCAGTTTATCAGCGGTGCCTGGAGTATTCCTTTAACCTCTTAAGGATGAAATCAATAGTCTAAATTCTAAACCGAACCAAAGCCTAGAATTTGTGATTTTTTATGTGTTTGTTTCACTGAAATTTAAGGGTTTCTCTTCGAGTGCCCCTGTAAATATTAGATATTGTTTTATAAAGGACAGAACAGACTTTCTTTAAATATCTATATATATTCCTAACATAACATTAGGTGTGAATAAAAATCTCAAAAATTTAATATTTATATATCCTGTGCAACTAAATATAAACAGCTCAAAAAAAGATTATTGTATCAGTCTTGATTGTTAAACCACTCCTATGACTAGGATTTAAATACATTTTTGGTAGTTAATGCTAACTCGATACTAACCTCCCGAACGCTACACCAGCCTTACTCCTGATTACACTAACTAACCATATATACCATAGTGTTAAATTATTTTCAATCAGTTCAACATGTACACCAGTCTGTATTTCTCTCCTGCAGTGCTCAGTAAATGTGGAAACATTTGACTGAGCAGAAGTAATATCGTGAGGAGAACTTCACTTCAATGTTAAACTATTTGAAAATGTTTTAACGCTTAACCCCTTAAGGACAGAGCTTCAGAAGCTTGTCTTTCACTTAATGACAACAGCATTTTTTTCATTTTTTGCTGTTTGCGTTCAACTGCAATTTGCATTTTACTATTTTATTGCACCGACACATATTATATATCATTTTTTAAAGGACAGAAAGGGCTTTAATTTGATGTAACACACACATATATAAATGCTTATTTATTATAAAAAATACAGAAAAATGCAAAAAAAAAGAAAAATTTGTTTTTTTTACAGTTTTTGCAATAATAATGTGTGCATAATTAGTGCAGGTTAAGGAACGTAATTAAAAATAAATTAATTTAGTTGTTCTGATTTACAGAATATATAATGTGTCTAGGATTTTAAGTTTTTTTGGTAGTTACAGGTCACAAAGCACAAGGAGTAAAATAAACTTTTAACGTGGAGCGATTTTAGAATTTGGTATGTTTGTCTTGTAAGCTTAATAGCCATAAAAGAAAACAAAATTGCCACACAAAAGTACATATTTATATAAAGTAGACATCACAGGCTATTTACCTAAGGTTGTTTTGACACTTTCTATGTAGCCATTTCACCGCCAACCTCTGCTAAATATTGGAGTAAAATTGTGGGTTTTTTTTGGTTTTTGGCACACAAATTTATAACAAAGAAATTCTCATGTGTATTTTGTAAAGTTGGTGTGTGCTGTTCCTGAACAAAGTTTTATTTTGTGTTCAGTTACATCTGCTGAGTAAAATGACACCCCCATTGTATGTCTTTGGCACTATTTCGTAAAGTTACAGTGCCATATAGGAGGCCTGTTCTTTTCAGTATTAGTAGAATAGTAGAACACAGTAGAATTTTGACAGACAGATTTAATGAGCCTATGCTTCCATTTGGGGTATTATAACAGTTTGACTGTTCAAAAAAGCCCGCAAAGGCCTACCATTTGTAAACGTAGACACTCCAGGGTATCTCATAAGGTGCATATTGTGCCTTAACATGCCCCCATTTTTTCACCACTATATGCCAAAGTATGTGGTAAAAAATAATTTTGTGCGTTTTTTTCACATTGATTGCATTTTTGCTGGGCATTTTGTATATTTCACATGTGTCACTAAGTTCAAACCCCCCAAATTATGCTCAGCTAAGTCTTCTGAGTAAAATGACACCCCCATTGTATGTCTTTGGCACTATTTCATGAAGCTACAGTGCCATATAGGAGACCTGTCCTTTTCAGTATTCACAGTAGAATTTTGAGAGACGGATTTAATGAGCCTATGCTTCCATTTGGGGTATTATACCAGTTTAACTGTTCAAAACAAAGGCCTACCATTTGTAAAAGTGGGCACTCCACAGTATCTCATAAGGTGCATATTGTGCCTTAACATGCCCCCATTTTTTCACCAATATATGCTAAAGTATGTGATAAAAAATAATTGTGTGCGTTTTTTACATAT